TCTGGAGACCGAGGCGAATTACACGCCGCAAGTACAGTTGGTCCGTGACTATCGACCTTTCCAAGCTTGTTTTGGAAAGATGGCTGCGATGCGCCCGCCCTTCTGAGCTTGCCCTTGGGAGCTTAAACCTCCGCCTTTCTTGGGCCGTTGATGGGGCCACAAGAACGCAGTTGCTATTTTCTAGCGCTGGGCAGGGTCCTGATGTATCGGACGTTGATATTATCAAAGGAGGATGGTTTTGAAGGGGACGGACTACCCTTGAGTTTGTCAAGCCTTGAAATGTTGGCAATTTGAAATCATCGTGTTGTGTTTTCTCAGGTTGGAGGAATATCATAAACCTACGAGTGGTGGAGGTTGTTCTGGCCAAACCCTGCATTGCTTTCAAAACATGTTTCGGACAGGCACCGTTTTGTGTCGCAGGACGTGGGTGAAGTGTCCTGCTTGCCCTCGCTGAATTGCTGGACCCTCGCGGGGTGGGTTAAGTCGACGTCCTTAAACCCTGCGCATATTCATTTTTATGTATCTAAGCGACGTGTTTGATTGCAGGGGACCTCACATCTAATTTGCTTGGTTGTTGATCATGGTGATTGCTTCCATTGATGAACAAGTCTGATCAGTGTTTGCATATGTACAACACCTCTTGTGTTCGCCAAGTCTTTGAGCTACACGGAGTAGTTTGCATAGAGTTCTGGCAGGTTCGCGATGATGTCGAGATACTTTAGCGCACGCCCTCATGAGGTTTGGGCAGGCTTACCAGGTCATTTTGTTGGCTCCAATTTTCCTCCCGTCACACGTCCAGCGTATTGCCTTGTTTTTTCAGTACAGCAACTGCACAGACTTGGAGCCTGACTGGCAATGCTGAGATCAGGGATTGCAATACTCTCGTGATTCTTACTGGTGAGCACTTGTGCATTTCCCACGGTGCTAGTTTGCTCCCGAAGACTCGCCTGAAAGAGGCTGGCTTGTTTGGAAACCGAGGCACTCCAACGAAATGTAAGAATGGATTGGAACGAATTTGACATCCTACACAACGGCGTTGAGTCGAGCTGAGGCAAGGACCTGACGCGGCATAGCATTGTTGCACAGGGCTTTGCCTTCGAAGAAAGGGAGACGGAGCTTTGAGGGTGCGGATAGAAGTCCAACTGCTGAATCCTCGCGTTACGAGGGGTTACCTTGACATTCAACCGGCAGACTCTCCATGTAGTCTTGCCAGAGTTCAAAGGCGCAAGCGATTGCTGAACTGGGATAGGACATATCATTTATTTTGTGTATGAACTTAATCCCAGAAGTATGATAGCTGACTCAAGACCAAATGTCACCTTTTGTTGTAAGGCTCCTGGAAGGACGGAAGCATGTGTGGCAAATGTGAGGTGCCTCCCAGCAATGGGGCAAGGCATGGATTTTGATAATGTATGTCCCCACAAACAGCTGACGCGCACTGACGTGCACTTTGAACGCTTCGCATCAACCTTTGAGGCTGGCCAAAGTCATGTACGCCAGCGTCCCTAGTTTGACATGTTTTGGAAGCTCGTATTAGTAGACGTTCAATGCTTCACCGGCGACTCGCTTGTGCCTTACTTCACTTCTTGGCTCAGAGGGGTCCAGGGCCAAAGCCATGGCAGGGGCCCCAACTCGGGGCAATAAGACGAGCTGTTTGAGGTTTGCTGTTCAGCAATTCCGTCCCTAGATTGCTAGTCTCAGCCCTTGTCTGAAGTGTGGCTGTGCTTTGCCCTGGATGTTTTCTTTGCAGAAAGGATTTTGCCAGGAACATTTTGGGGGGTGTCCGTAGAAAGTCGTCTAATTAGCACCTCCGGGCTTCCGGGGCTGAGATGCATCCCGCCTTGCCATCCAGGCGGTCGCATCAGCCTTCGTGGCTAGCACCCCGCGGGTGTCCGGAGCCTGGCAGAAATTGCAAGTCATTCAACACAGCTTTTGCACGGCTGTGTGTGTGAATGCATTGGAGTGAAATGTTGCTTGTTGATTACGCCCCTACACATGGATACCTGGGAAAGACCTTGGAGTTTTGGCTGTTCACAGCTTCTGGAGATCAAATGCAAGGATGAATGGAATGGAGTGTGCTTAGCCGCAAGCTGCGTGAAGGCTGTTTGAGCTTTGAGGCATGCAACGGGCGCATCTCAATTGGTTCGGTCACCATCCAAGGCTGGGAAGTTTGTTGGCGCCAAGCAGACCGCAGCGACCCTCACAGGCACGTCACAATCCGAGGACTTGCATTAGAGCACGATTGGCTTGCAGGATCCCCTCAATAAATGCAGAAATCAATTGAAGCACTATTCAATCGGTGTTTTTCTTGGTGGCAGTTTGCCGCTCTTGTTTTTAGATGTCATGGCCCAATCCCTTGCAAGATGAGCACTTGCTGAGTGGACAGTATCAGTGGCGGTTTGCACTGTTGCCTGGAAGAAGCCATTGCTGTCCACTGCAATGTCTCACCTGATGAAGTGGTTTACTTCAGATGGCATGTCAGATGAGAGTGGCGGAGGTCTTGGGCAGTGATGGTCACGCCTGTACAGCGGTGCTGGTGTCAACGGTGACAGCCAGAGCCTTTGCTTGTGATGAGGTGCGTGACTAGTGCACGAATTTGCTGCAAGGCGCATCAAAGTGCAGCCTAGAAATTGATCCAGCAACAAGCGGCAGTACATGAGCCAATCTTGATGTCATAAGGCCTAGAAGGGCAGGAAGATGTTCATGAATTGAAATTTGAGACGTCCGTGGTGTTTCTGAATAAGACGTGGATTGTTTAATCCGACTGGAGTAGAAGGGGAAGAGCAGAACACGGCACGACATGTAATCTAAGGCCTTTGCGGCAAAGGCACGCAGGAAACGAGCTGCGCAGCGAGCCACCACTGTGGAGGTGGGGAGTTTTGGACGTGCGGTACACGCACCGTGGAGGTGGGAGTTAGGCGCAAAAGATGACAATGAAAGCACTGTGTAAGTTGCCTCAAGTTGGGGCGCAGTGGAGTGGAACATCAAATTCGTCATGGCTCGTGAGAAAGACCCCCAGAGTTTTCGTCAGGCTTTCAGAACTGGAGTTGAGGAGGGCAGTTCCAGCACGATTGTTTTCTACCATTGGAGGCTGAGTCCACCACTGGCCTGGCACCTTGGGAGATAGACGAGGACAGCGTGTGGGAAGGCAGGTTTTGGCGGATTGATAGCGCCCAATATGGCCAAAGGTTGGACCTGATCAAAGGTACTAAGGCGCAATACTGGGCACGGCCAAGTTAGATTTGGGATCTAAGAGTTGCTCTGATTTCCTGGCGAAGAGTTGCTCGCTTGTTCCCCAGTAGTGGCTACAGTGTGCTCTCATTTTGAGGAGACAGAGGAGGAGCGGCAGGCCCGGTACACTCGGGAGGCCGATGAGATGAAGTTGAAGTGGGATGCAAGGCCAGGGCCGTGCGTTGGTCACCAATGGTCGGTAAGTAAAAGAGGCCACCGCAACCTTGGATTCACTGTTGCATATGCAGTGGTTGCTTCTCAACAATGTGGTCTTTGTTGCCTTGCTGTTGCTTACGTTCAAAGGTGCGGCGACGGGCGTCTCAATGTTCGCATTTCAGATTTGGTTCTTCGCGCCGGCTTTCAGGCGCCTGGAGGAGAAGCAGTCGGCGCAGAGGCGCCAGGCCTGGGCGCAGAAGGAGCAGGAGCGAGTCTGGGGCCTGAGTGCGGAGCGTTGGTTCAGCTGGGTTCAGTTGAGAACACCAGGTCGGAACAAAGAGAGTCAGAGGGCAAAAGGTTCAACTTGTTTGTGATAAGTTTGGCAGCGCCTTGCCAAGAAGAGGTACTTTCAGATGAAATCAAAGCATGCATGTTTGGATGGCTGCTGCAACATGTGTTGGGTCTACTCTTGGAACGCTGCCAAAATTCAGATTCTCAGCAGCCACTGACGAGTGCAGACAAATAGATTGTGCTAAGAAAGAGCAGGTTTGACAGTAGGTCTTCGTTAGGTAATGTCAGCAGACGATTAGTAAACCCCCCCGATTAAAGGTTTCCCCTTTTCCCCACCAGGTTCCAACCAACACTAAAGTAAAGGGCCAACAAGATTTCCCAAAAAATCCCTACCCAATAATTTTTGAGCCCTCCCCAAAACCCCCCCTGATTAAAGGTATCCCTTTGCAGCCCCCAAGCCAACAAAACCTGCCAAAAAGGTGCTTTCCTTCTTAAACCCACCAATACTAAGTCACTATTGAACCCCTCAAGTTCTCCCAAAAAATGTGCTTCCCCCGAAATGCATTTTTCCTTATTAAACTTTGTTTAAAATGACAAGGTTTTCAAGCTCACAAAGGGGACCCCCCTTGGAGGCCAGTCCCCCCTCATTAACAGAAAACCCCCCGCGATTAATCAGGGCCCTTTGGGCTCAAAACCCAAAAAATATGCTGTTGCCTTTTAAAGTCCTACTGCCCTGAAGGGACCAGAAGTAAGAGGACGAGGACCGAAGGGGCTCCAGAGTAATCAGGGGGGTCCTCCCAAAAGTCTCATTTTTTGGGACTTGTCCAAACCTTGTCAACCTTGAAGGGCGGGGGGGTTACTAATCAGTTGGCACCATTAAATGTCTTTAGACTCATCATTCTCTGCAGTCACTGCTCAAATCGGGCCAGGATGGCCACAGACCATGTGCACGACTTGCAAGATTAGATTTGACCGCCGCAAGCCCCCGCGCCGAGGCTTCCCTGTATGGCCCGCGGGATCCTATCATGGAGGCCTATGAGGCACGGACCAAAGTCGGGGCGGAGACTGTCGCAAGCGCACAAATTTCTGCAGATTTGCAAGGCACCGCAAGGCACCTTACAAGGAATCGGTTCCAATCAGGGACAGAGGCGCGTGTCAATGTTGGCCAGGCCCGCATGTATGAGGAGGCCCGCGTCATCGAGGTACGGAGGAGGCAGAGAGAGGTGTATGAGCGCATCAAGGCAAGACCGTTGTTTGTGCTCTCTTGCTGACACCTGCTACAGCTTTGAGCTTGAAGCTGGTACTAGTATGAAATTTGCTGGCACCAAATCTTCGGCGCTCAAAGTCATTGATAGATGAGCACCGAGCTGATGTGTGGATTGCCACATCACGCAGATAGCAGCGCCATCATGTCAGGCGCACAAGGAAGGGCGGCCGTTGCCTCCCAAAGGCACTGCTTATGCCAGCGCACTCAGGGTGCAGGCGTAGTTCATATTGAAGAGTGAGTGAATGCGATCATTCATCAAGCACCCCTGCTTTCGGGATTGTTTGTGTATCACAGAGACTGCGCAGATGACATGTGACCAAGGGCTCCCCTGAGGGCGTGTTTTAGAAGTTTTGTTTTTAAGGGTTGTTCATGTTACGTCCTTCAGGACCCGGGAGGAGTGCTAGCGGCCAACCGGTGGCAACGGCTTAAGTTTGATCACTTCTGGTAGCAATGAGACCTTGGGTTCCGACCAACTGGGAACTCTGGGTGGCCCATCGGCGGACCTGGTTGCGGAGTATCATTTTTGCATTGGAACCCCCTGGGCTTTGGGACAGGAAATGGTTTATCGAGTTTTGTTTTGGCATCATTTTCGGCGCAAGGCGCCAAACTCACACTCTCCAAGGCAAGTCTGAATGTCTCATTTACCTTCATTATTATTGCGTGCAGCCACGGCGTATGGCAACGGCGCGCGTGGGCCCGTGCAACATGATGATGCTCCATTTACCGCAGTGGTTCATAGCAAACCCTGCCCAAAGCCTCACTGAGGCTTGACGCCACAACAAACCCGGTGTCTCACTAGTCAGACCGTTTTTCCAACCGCCCCACGGATAATGACATGAAAAGATGATATAGTCCCTTAGCCACCATCGGGTTTGATCAACGACATCAACGAACAATGATGTTGCTCACACGTTTTTGCATGGCGCTGCTAGAACTGCCCGGAGTTGTTCCCTGACCTATGGCAGCGCTCAGGTGGAGCTGAAGCCACCACCCAAAGAGCCGACAAAGCCCGAGGAGTTTGATGTCTCCGGGCATTACAAGCCTCAGGAGGACAGAGCGATCTATGAAGGCCGCAGGTTTTACTACTTGTTTCAAATTGCCAGGGGTTCCATCCTCGGTACCTAGTTTTGACCCACACCCATGCAACCTGATATTATGGCTGGTGCAACATCAAGCGCCGTCAAAAGCAGATGAGACTGCCCTTGTTCACGGTTTTGCGCCGCCCCCAGCAAGGTTGAAGTTAGTTTGAGGGCCCAAATATGTTTTCAAGAAAACAAACGATGCTGACTTATGAGAACTTTGGGGTGTATCAAGAAACTTTTCCGGAATTGGCAACCATCTAGTATATGAGACCTGCGGTAGGACTCCAAAGAGATTGCCAAAGACAAATCTGAACATGAACACCCTGGCCCAAATAGATGGCAGGTTCAGTAGTGCTTCGGGGGGGGGGGGCGCGAGAGGGGAGGAGGCAAGTTCGGACTTCGGAGGACATTGAAGCCAAAAAGTATAAGGCGCCAGAGTCTTATGCCAGGCTCTCAGCTAAGATGTTGTTTTTCGCAAAAGGCCACCTAGTGACTGGTCGCCAGCTTCTTTCTGCAATGGAGCTTTGATGGATGCCCTTATGTTGGACAAGTGTCGCGCATCAGCTCAAATAAGCATCATCACAGAAGCAACAATCCCAAAGACGGCAGCGTCGGATTAGAGCAAGTACAGGATTGGGTGTCGCTTGGATGAACCGTTGGAAGCAGACATGCAACATGCAGCCAGGCCCTGAAAGAGTCAAATGGAAGAGTTCCGTTCCAACTAACAATGATTAGTATCATCTCCGTGCGTGACGTGCATTGGTTGGCAGGCAAAGAAACAGAACTCTACCCGTTCGTTGGTGACGCGTTGGGCAAATGCAAGTGAACTCGGCTAGGGTGTCACAGTGGACCTTGTTTTGGCTTGTGTGGGCGTGGGATCATGTTTTTGTGACCGATTTCAATCGTTTGGCAGACACCTGCTTGGCCTGTTCTTTTCAGCGTACGCGTTGTCAGGCAGCTTGCTGCAAGTTTCCTTTCAAGATTGGCTTCCGATCTCACATGGTTGTTTATTCATTGCGGTGTTTTTTTGCAGGTGTCACCCACTGGGCCGGCTCCGCCGCCGCGACATAAGCGCGGCAATCCCCGTGCTGCCTCGAAGCCCAGAGCGTGCGAAGCATGGAACACTTGTTTTGGCAATGCCTCGCGGGTGACAAGGGGGAAGTTTAGCTAGTTCTTCTCCAGAATTGATCTCCTCCGCCAATTCTCCTGACGCATCACTTTTTTAAAGGGAAGGTTGCAACAGCATAGCTGAGGGAAGAAACTCTTAGTTGCAGTAGCGGCAGTTTGGAGCTTATTGGACCACGATCAAGGACACCTCAAGTGCTCACCACGGCGATTCAGGAAGTTCACCCTTTGCAATGAGACTTGTTGCACAAGACCATCGATAGAAGAGTTGTCAACGGGGCACATCGCTGATTCTAGTCACGATTATTTCACTTATTGATATTTCTTGCTCAGAGAAAGACACTCCACATGGATTGACACAAGATTCTGTGAGCTAGAAATCCCTTGGTTGTTGCGTCAGAAGAAAATGCACCAAAAGCTTTGTTGTCGTTCACTCTCAGGCTTCAGGTCACGGAGCGGCCATACTGCTTCAGTGTGTTGGGAACGTTTTGGATTTGCTCATGCCCTTGGCAAGGCTTGGGAGACTCCGCAATACACCCAGCCACGGCCAAATGCCCCGCCGACGGAGCCTTAAAACACATGCCTGCATTGCACGCAGCGCTGTGGTGGTTGACCCAAGCATGCTTTTGGCCTGTTTTTTTCTTCTTGATGCTCCTGGCACTCCTGATGACGTGGCTATCGCTGCTGACGCCGGTGTGTTTGCTTTCGCAGATCCTGCAATTCTCGTTGTTGTTGTTGTTGCGGTTCTGGTTGTGGTTGTGGTTGTTGTTTGTTGTGTTTTTTGTTGTTTGTTGGCTGTTGGTTGTTGTACGTTGTACGTTGTTTGTTTATCGTTTGTTGTTTGCTGTTGGTTGTTTGTTTGGTGGTTGTTTGTTGGTGTTGCTGTCGCTGTCGCTGTCGCTGTCGTCGTCGTCGTCGTCGTCGTCGTCGTCGTCGTCGTCGTCGTCGTCGTCGTCGTCGTCGTCGTCGTCGTCGTCGTGGTGGTGGTGGTGGTGGTGGTGGTTGTTGTTGTTGTTGTTGTTGGTTGGTGGTTGGTGGTTGGTGGTTGGTGGTTGGTGGTTGGTGGTTGGTGGTTGGTGGTTGGTGGTTGGTGGTTGGTGGTTGGTGGTTGGTGGTTGGTTGTTGGTTGTTGGTTGTTGGTTGTTGGTTGTTGGTTGTTGGTTGTTGGTTGTTGGTTGTTGGTTGTTGGTTGTTTGTTGTTTGTTGTTTGTTGTGTGTTGTGTGTTGTGTATTGTGTGTTGTTTGTTGTGTGTTGCTTGTTGCTCGTTGCTTGTTGTTTGTTGTTGTTTGGTGTTGTTTGTTGTTGTTTGTTGCTTGTTGCTTGTTGCGTGTTGCGTGTTGCGTGTTGCTTGTTGCTTGTTGCTTGTTGCTTGTTGCTTGTTGTTGTTGTTGGTGGTGGTGGTGGTTGTTGTTGGTTGTTGTTGGTTGTTGTTGTTCTTTCTTGTTCTTGTGTTTGTTCTTGTTCTTGTTGTTGTTGTTGTTGTTGTTGGTGGTGGTGGTGGTGGTGGTGTTGTTGTTGTTGGTGTTGGTGTTGGTGTTGGTGTTGGTGTTGGTGTTGGTGTTGGTGTTGGTGTTGGTGTTGGTGTTGGTGTTGGTGTTGGTGTTGGTGTTGGTGTTGGTGTTGGTGTTGGTGTTGTTGGTGTTGGTGTTGGTGTTGGTGCTGGTGCTGGTGCTGGTGCTGGTGCTGGTGCTGGTGCTGGTGCTGGTGCTGGTGCTGGTGCTGGTGCTGGTGTTGGTGTTGGTGTTCGTGTTGTTGTTGTTGCTGTTGCTGTTGCTGTTGCTGTTGCTGTTGCTGTTGCTGTTGCTGTTGCTGTTGCTGTTGCTGTTGCTGTTGCTGTTGCTGTTGGTGTTGGTGTTGGTGGTGTTGGTGGTGTTGGTGTTGGTGTTGTTGGTGTTGTGGGTGTTGTTGGTGTTGTTGGTGTTGTTGGTGTTGTTGGTGTTGTTGGTGTTGTTGGTGGTGTTGGTGGTGGTGTTGGTGGTGGTGTTCGTGTTCGTGCTCGTGCTCGTGCTCGTGCTTGTGCTCGTGTTCGTGTTCGTGTTCGTGTTCGTGTTTGTGTGTGTGTGTTGGTGTTGGTGTTGGTGTTGGTGTTGTTGATGTTGATGTTGGTGTTGATGTTGTGGTTGTGGTTTTTGTTGTTGCTGCAGCTGCTGCTGCTGTTGTTGTTGTGGTTGTGGTTGTCGTTGTCGTTGTCGTTGTCGTTGTGGTGGTTGTGGTGTTGGTTGTGGTTGTGGTTGTATGTGTGGTTGTGGTTGTGGTTGTGGTTGTTGTTGTTTTTGCCAGCGGACCAACAACCGCCCGTGCAGGCGTTGCGAAAATGCTCGGGGGGTGGGGGGGGGGGGGGTGGGGGGGGGAATGTTTATCCGTTGCAAATGTTACTTAGCCTCCGACCCTGAACTTTTTGTTTGACACCAGCCATCAGGCCAGGCGATGTTTTTTATCCGTTGGACATGTTTTTGAGGCACAGAAACCCTACTCTTCAAGTCCGCCCTTCATGACATACGCCACGGCCGTTGAATCTCTGGCCCTGATCATACCACTTCGTGTTCGGGGCTGGGCCGCGGACAACATACCTGCGACCCTGTAAGCAGTTCGCGTGTTTTTCTATGACTTTCACCAGGCCATGGGCTTCAAACATGTAAAGACACTGCGCCAATAAGAGACTTTTCTTCGCAGAAATGACTTGTTCAATGTGCCAATCAAAGACTTTTCTTCGCATAAACGACTAGTTTGCTTGTTTGTTCGCAGGTGCGCAAGCAGCAAGCTCGGTGACTGACTTTGTGCACCGCGCGGTTTACCTAAATGTCAGGGGGCGCCACCGGTTTGACCGCCTTCCGTTGGCACTTGAAGCTTTGCGGTCTTTGTGGCAGTGGGAAATGACACGTTTCCCGAATCCTGAACCAGCAATTGCGGCCGCGATCCATGTTCTGGCTGGAAGATTGGCCCGCCCGGTCGCGTTCGCCAGTGCTGGCACGTGTGAAGAAGCTTCGCTGTTCCCAAGCACGCCTCCTCGGCATACGCAGCGGGCCTGTGACAAAGCTGTGGAAGTGCTCGAGCCTCCCGAAGTTCATGCAACGCTCCTAGGTAAAGCGAACACGTTTTGGGGAGTGTGTTAGTCTCTTTGTTCCTGCGAGTAGGAGTGAAGACCTGGCCCTGCAAGATTCTTTTTTGCCATGTAGCAGACGCGGCGAAGTTGCGCTTCATGAGCACGAGTGCTCCGACCGGCGCCGACTTCATTGGCAGGCACTTGGGCATTTCTGCGTCCACACAGGGCTCTTTGACCAAGCTGCTCGCGCACTTGCTTGCTGTACAGGCGACTTGCGTGGCTCAGCAGTTGATGTGCCGAGGGCTTCTAGAATGCGACGGCGCATCGCTCAGGCGCTGGAGGAGAAAGGGGGCCAGTTCGTTGATCTACTTGCAGATTTTCGGAGTGCTAGAGAGAAACATGGAAGCCACCTCCCAAGCGCTTGAGAAAGATTCGCAAGACAGACACGTTCAAGCACGTGGAGACTCATGATTCTGCTGGAGTGAAGACTTGGCTGCTATCCTCCATGGTCACGCGAGCTCGGAGTCACACTTCGTAGCGCGTCACACGCCACAGGGGAGATTGAAAAGAAGGCCACTCGCAATGGTGCTCGGCTCTCTGTGCACACGGGAACGATCGACTCCACTTGGCAAGAAAGAAAGGCTTTCATCCCCAATTCCATCAGTTCTCGCAGTCCCAAGACTTGGCTGCGCGTGCGGGCGTACCAATGGCGTCACTTGCAGAAAGGAAAAGACCTCTGCGTGGCGACCGCCAAGACGCTGGACAAGCTCAGGAAAAGCGTTTGACAAAATATGAGCTGAGAGCGCATGAGCTGAGAGTGCCGGCCTGTGGAAGAAGATGCTTGTTAAAAAACTCCCAAAAAAGGGTCTCAAAACAGACGCGTTCTGAGAGGTGTAAAATTGTATTTTTCCTTGAAAACACTGGAAATAGCGGTTGATTCTTGCATTCCCCACTGTAATGGAAGGCGTAATGTGCTGACTTTTACTTTCCATGACTAGTAATTTCCAATGTTTTTGTCTACTTGCTGAGCAAGAACAATGTCTTCAAGGCCACGCCGCCACGGGCGGTTTCCGACCCGGCGGGTCGTTTTTGTTGTTGTTGTTGCTGTTGTTGCTGTTGCTGTTGTTGTTGGTGGTGTTGGTGTGATTGGTGGTGTTGGTGGTGTTGGTGGTGTTGGTGTGGGTGTTGGTGTTGTTGGTGTTCTTGTTGTTGTTGGTGATATTGGTGATGTTGGTGTTGGTGTTGGTGGTGTTGTTGGTGTTGTTGGGGTTTGTGGTGTTGGTGGCGTTTGTGGTGGTGTTGTTGGTGACGTTGGTGTTGTTGGTGGCGTTGGTGGTGTTGGTGGTGTTGGTGGTGTTGTTGGTGTTGTTGGTGTTGTTAGTGTTCTTGGTGTTGTTGGTGTTGTTGGTGTTGGTGTTGTTGGTGGTGTTGTTGTCGTTGTTGTCGTCGTTGTCGTTGTTGCGCTTCTGTTTTTGTGTTGCTCGTTTTTGTTCCGCGGGTGTGTTTGCGTGCTTGTTTGGTTGGCTGTTCTTTCAGCTGTGTCAGTTTGGTTTTCTATGGTTTTTCCACTAGTCCTTTGCTTGTTTTGTGTTGCTTCTTGTGTTGTTGTGTTGTGTTTTGTCTGGCTGGTTGGCTGTCTACCTGTTTGTGTGTTCGCGTGCGTGTTATGTTTGCTGCTTTGTTGTGTTTGTGTGTTTGGTTGCTTGCTGTTGTTATTCTTGTTTTGTTGTTTTGCTTGTTTGTTTGTTTGTTTGCGTTAGGTTCTTCGAGCGCGGGCTCGTGTTTTGTTTGTTTGTCTTGTTGGTTGTGTTGCTGTCGTTGTCCTTGCTGTTGCGTTGGCTCTTGTTCTAGCTGTGTGTCCTTGACCTTGTTGTCGCTGCTGTTGCTCCTGCTGTTGCTCTTGTTCTTGTTTCTGTTCTGTTGTTAGTCTTGCTGTTGCAGTCGCAGTTGCAGTCGTCGGCGCTATTGGTGTTGTTGTTGGCGGCGGTGGTTGTGGTTGCTGCGTTGTTGCTGTTGTTGTTCTTCTTCTTCTTGTTCTTGTTGTTGTTGTCGTTGTGGTCAATATCGGTGTTGTTCTTGCTCTTGTTCTTGCGGTCATGATCGCGGTCGTGTCGTTCTTGTCGCTGCGGTCGCTGTCGCTCTTGTCACTTCTGCTGTTGTTGTCTTTGCTGTTGATGCTGTTGCCGCGATTGTTGCCGCTGCTGCTGCTCTGCTGCTGTTGGTGTTGTTATTCTTCTTGTTGTTCTTGTTGTTTGTGTTGTTCTTGTTGTGATTGTTGTGTTTGTTGTTCTTGTTCTTGTTCTTGTCGTTCTTGTTGTTCTTGTTGTTTGTGTTGTTCTTGTTGTGATTGTTGTGTTTGTTGTTCGTGTTCTTGTTCTTGTTGTTGTTGTTGTTATTATTGCTGTCGTCGGGGTTTGCCTGGGCAGGCACGACCGTAGAGGTGTTTCTGGCCTTGCGCGCCTGAGAAACCAGAAGCCTTGTCTGCCGAGGCCAAGGCAGTGGCCAGAGCCAGGGTCATTGCCAGAAGACACAGCCCGGGCCCTGCATGTGGATCGAAAGCGCCAATCAGTGCAGTTGGGCCCTTGCGTCTTCAAATTTTTGTTAGAGAACCTCGTCGTCGCTACTTGCAACATGTTCCACAATCTCGCAGGGTAATGTTGTTCTGTGTATATAGAGTGTCCAGAAGCTCCCAAGCTCACGCAACTCACCGAAAGTCACCGGGTTCAACTTGTCGATGCCTTCAGAGGCGAAGCCCTGGTTGCCGCAAACAACAGAACCTTTGTCTATACCGTTTTCACGCGTAGCAAAGACGTTGTTGAGGTTCCTCCTGTCCGGGAGAAAATTGAGAAGGAGAGGGTGGAGACCTCAGCAGCAATGTGTTTCGAGGCGTAGTCACAGGCAATTCATCACGGAGCATTGCGTAGCCCATGCGCTTGTTTGATTGTTGAAAGTTTTCCGGGTTGCAGAGATCAACTCGCACAGTCCGTGAGGCTTATTGTTTCGCTTCGAGGTTTGTGACACACGCCCGTCTTGTCATGAAGAAATCCTACTGCCCAGCCATACATTCTTGTTCCGAAGTTTTAACTTCAAGCTATACTGCTTTGCCCAGCACATGGGACAGCTGTCTGAGGCAAATCGCAAATCGCGAAGACAACGCATGATGGAGGAGCAGGAACGGCTGGAGCGCGGCGAGGACATCGCGGAGGAGGAGGAGGAGGAGGAGGAGGAAGACATCGACTGAGCGACTAGTGTCTTTATGCAACATTGGAGATGACATTGCCTCAGGCCAAAAGAGCGCAATCTTGACACGTTGCAAGAAGTTGTGGTTTTCAAGTGACAACAGCTGACCCGCCGTATACGGGGCCATTGGCACGCTGTCATGGTCAACGAAGATAACTTTGTGTGGGGAAAGTGTGTTTGAGTTAAGCCAGCCTCGCCAAGAGATGACTCTGAAACATCCCGCCACTAGCGGATAGAACCGTCTGCGCTCAAACTAACCGGCAGTGCTGGACTTGTTTCCAGGTGCGACATCACAGGGCCTGACCTGTCAAAAGGGGGCCGCTGCGCAACATGTACGTTTGCCTCCACCGTCGCCAGACAAATGCACATTTGCGAAGGTCATCCGTTCGCAAGCTGGAGTAACAGGCAGCTGTCCGAATTGCGTGCTGCGGGTTCGAAGTTTGAGAGGTTCGGAGATGCAGTTTGTTTGACAAATTATGATATGCGATATTTTAATGTTTTGATGAGTTTACGTGTGTCAGAAAGCTGTTAGATGTAAACTATCATTATTGTTGTTTATAACTTGACAGAGGCGGTTCTCGAGACGCTTAACTTCACCGCTCTTGCAAGGACGGCTGCGCAGGCAGCAGCGACAACAACAACATTAACTCCTTACTGCACACATACACACATCCATTTTCCATACACCGTCCATCAGTTCTCCATCGATTTTCCAACACATTTTCCCTCTTGTGTAGCCGTGTCCCGTCATTTCCCCTGTTAAAACCCTCTAGGCCCCGTGCCTAAATTGGGAAGCTGTTCTGAGGTCTGTGTTGGTGTTGCTTTCCAAGTTCCATTGATCGCCATTTGGCTCAAGACACAATTGAGGTTCAAGATCTGATGTGTAGCTGCATTCATACGTGATCGGCATTGAGAGCGGAAAACACTTCGCTTGCGCTGCATTTGTCAGGACCACTGTCGTAACTATCATTCCTTCCCCCTTACAACGTTTACACGGGTCGGCTATAACGGCATCGTCCGTATACACCTTTCCACGTGGTTGGTATTACAGCTGGAGGGTTCGGTGCATAGCGTCCCACGGGACGTCACCTTGCCGTCTCTTGACAGGTTATCAGCCGTATCTACAAGCTCTACACTGGACAGAGAGACAGCTGGTTTATTGCGGGTACAGGGACAATAAAGGAACGATAACCTACACAGTACAATGGCATCTTCAGCGAGCCCAAGTACTGCAACTTTTGGGAACAGCAGCTCAGAGGGATCCAATGGATTGATGGCTCTTCCTGCGGTGATGGATATGATCGCAGATTCACAGGATGAACCTGGGAGCGGAGGTTCCGCGCTATTCAGCGACATATCTACTCCCACAAGATCATGGAAGCAGATCGATGTTCATCAGGAGTCGAAGAAAAGAGAATCCCCACCGAGAAGATCATCATCTTCGCCTGCGACACCACGGACGTCGCAGAAGGGCGTGAGATCGACATCGAAGGGTGGGAGGTCAAAGTCACCCACCAGTGCGGAGTTTCGCGCCGCAATTAAGGAGAAGAACAAGATGGAGGTGGAGATCGGGGAATATCAAAAGACACTTGATGAAATGTCGGCAGCAATGGCGAATCTTCATCAAGAAGACTATGGAAGCACCATCCGGATCCAGGAGCTGGAAAGACGATGCGAGATTGCCAGCAAGCAGTCGGGGCATCTAGTGAGTCACCACCAACACCACATGGCTGAGGCATGGCGCAAGTTTGAGGAGGAAGCCCAACAGATGCGCAAGGTGGAAATGAACGCATTTCAGTACGGGGAAAAGAAAGACATGGAGTCGAATATTATAATGCAACAGATGAGACAAGCTGAAGGAACTATCATGGAGCAGAAGCGGGAGATTGCAGTGATGAAATCCTACATGGCAAGCGAGAAGTCGGCCGCGCAGGAATCAGCTATACGTGCAAATCAGATACACCGTGAAGCTTCACAGCAGATATCAGTTTATCAGCAACAAATCAGAGGCATCGAATCGTCTACATCTATCGAGAAGTTCAACGAGGAGGAGATGGTCCAAAGTCTGAAATCACAGTTGGAGCACGCACTCGTCAAGCGCCCCGAGACGTACTCTATGGAGGACTCCAGGGAACAGCTGATGGCGAGACTGAATGACGTTACAGTATTTGCGGAACAAGAATCAAAGAGAGCAGATTGCTTGCTTCGTGAGAAGGAAGAGATCGTCAAACAGTATGAATCCGACGTGTCGATGAAGGACCAGATGATTGCTGTCGAGGGTGGTCATCGTCAAGATGCGATCTTGGAGTTAGCCCAGGTCAAAGAAGCAAAACAAGAGGAACGGTGCACGATGGACGAGAAGTCGAAGGAGGCTGAGTACTGGAGATTGACAGCTAAGGGAATGTACGATGAGTACCTCGAGGAGATGCATGAGCTTCAGGGACAACTGAAGGAAAGGGAGGCGACGCTCAAGCAAGAAGAGAGTTTTGTTCGTCAACTCGATGCTGACAACGAGGAACTGCGTGCACACAAGAAGCTGGAGACACAGGAAGCCTCCAGCAGCAAAGATGGACATCGTGAACGAGCAGTAGTGAAACGCGCTGAGGGAGGATCCCAAGCTAATTCAAATAGGGTAGACAAGAAGGTGGCTGGGTTAGTCCCGTCATCGTCTTCGAATCTGAACCCTAATTCGTCACTAATGCCAGGTTCGATTCTTTTTCCGTCTTTCGGTGATCCAATGATCGATGTACACCTATCCCAGATGCAAGGGGTTGTTGGGCATGTCCCACAATCCACTACTACGACTGGTGGTGGTGATGGAGGGGGAAACAACGGCCCCATTGGATTACGGTGGATTCTCGCCTAATGGAAATAGGCAGGGAGCAAATCGACGTCAGTTGAGCCTCACAGGTGGCGGAGGAGGACCTCCGGATGACCCACCCGACGATGAAGACGGGGACGACGAAGACGAAGAGGACGAAGACGAGGAAGAAGAAGAGGAAGAAGATGACAATCGGACACGGAGGAGACGAAGAAGATCGAGAGATGATCGGGAGATCAAGAATGATAGACCGAGGATCTCGAGGAAAGAGGCTGAGAGGGTATCCATTCCGGCTTGGCCAAAGATCCACCAACTTGATAACTGGAAGATGCAACTGTTGATGAATGTTCTGAGCGCATGTGCAGATCCAGACACCGATACATGGACGAAATGGTTGGAACAGGCTCTTGGGTTGAACCCAGACCTGAATGCGCTTAGCGATTCAGGTGGCGACAGATTTGCTACGATAGATATTAAGATGGCCATGGGCATGCAGAACATGTTGAAACAAGCACCTGACGAAGCCAAGGACGTGTACCTCGACGCAACGCGGCACTCGGAACTACGACATCAACAAGGGGTGATCGTGAAGGGACGAGAGTTGGTGGCATTGGTTATGCAATCATTCAGAACATCCGATAGAACGGATCTTGTCTACCACATCGAGCACCTATTCAACCTTGACTTTCCTGGAGACAAGAACTTGGTTATGTTCAGGAACAAATGGTATGATTTGCTGCTGAAGATGAGGAGCGAGGACAGACCCAGTAAACTGGCTCTCAGAGACATCCTTTACAGGAAGATCAAAGGGAGCAAGAAGATGGAATTCGGCCTCAATGCCTACCATAGACTACCGGACAAGCATCCTCAGAAGACGTATGAATTCTTATTGGCGTTGATCGACCATCAGATCAAGGCGGATCGGGAGGACCTGATGCTTGACATGAAGGAGAGATCGGTCAAGTCAATGATGAAGTCAGGCGGCAAAGATGCGGCTCCAGCCACTGGCAAGCAGGAGAACCAGGGTGGCAAGGGCAGGAAGGGGAAACCCGGAGTACCCGATGCTGCTCCTGTACTCCCAAAAGCCAAGGCAAAGGGCCACGCTGGCAAGAACGGCAAGTCCGACGGTGCCAGCGACAGAGGCAAGAGTCCGGGCGGAGGCAAGGATAACCCCTGTTGGTATCACTTCAAATCGGCGAAGGGATGCGTGAAAGGGAATGAATGCACGTTTTCCCACAGCAAGAAGACGGAGCAAAAGCTGGAGAACATGCCCAAGGGGAAAGGAAAGGGTAAGTCCAAATCCAGGTCGTCGTCACCAAAGAGGGAGGACGGAGCATGCTTCGCGTTTCAGAAGGGGAAGTGCGACAGGGGGAGCGCTTGCAAGTACAGGCACGAGCTCATCAAGAACAATTCAGCTCCGGCAACGTCAAGCGACAAGGCGCAAGCCAAGTCGAAGGCTGCCGCCAAGGCCGCAGCACCAGCTATTGCAAGGAGGGCCATCGCAATGCCTGCGATAGTCCTGAAGCAATCGGCTCCTGCGGGGAAGGTCAGCTTCAAGAAGGACGTTGACCAGGTCGAACCGGATGAAGCCGAGACTATATACCACGAACGTGATGATGACGCGATGAGCGAATCGTCGAGATGGTCTGGCGAGTCCGAGATCCCCGAGAAAATGGTATGGTTCAAAGAAGTACTCGACGTCGACGAGAATGGAGAGATCACCTACCTCGAAGACGAGAGAAGGCAATGGGAACGAAAAGGGGATTGGTACGGTTATGAGGAAAATGAGAATGAACCTTATCAATATGTATACGTTGACGAGAAGAAGTTCAAAAGCAGTGATCATCGAGAATTATCAGCCTATCAAGTCCAACGATCGTTGATAAGGGCGAAAATACTGGGAGAGGTGGTGGATGATATATACAAAAAGCACTACTTCCCGGTGACCAAGGAGAGCAGCATAATGTTCGAATACGATCAGAGCAAGGACGAAATCAGGGAATCGGCTGTTGACTGGAAGAAGCAACACGGTTTGCCGAAGAACGTCTTCGCCATGTCAACGTGCATCAGCAAGCGGGTGAAATGGTTGATGGACACCGGATGTGGTCATGATCTCATCGGACGAGCCAAGGCGAAGAGCCTGGGCGTCGACATCGTGAAAGATGATGACGAGATCGTATTCCAGACCGCAAATGGTTCCACATCTACGTCCGATGTGGCCAAGA